CCAAACTTTCTCCCCTCTCTCCCTTTCCCCCTTCCCAAGATGGCATGCAATCTGATATAGGCTATACATATACATTCATGTTAAACATATTTTCACGTTAGTCACATTATAAATAAGAACTAGAACCAAGGGAGAAACTATGAGAAAGTAGAAACAAACAAAAAGAGACAGAGAGAGAGCAAATGGTATACTTTGATCTGCATTCGGACACCACAGTTCTTTCTCTGGATTTGAATAGCATTTTCTATCATGAGTCTTTTGGAATTGTCCTAGATCCTTGCATTGCTGAGAAGAGCTAAGTCTGTATCAAAGTCAGTCATTGCACAATGTTGCTGTTACTATGTACCATGTCCTCCTGATTCTGTTCACTTCACTCAGCATCAATCCATACAAGTCTTTCCAGGTTTTTCTGAAGTCTGCCTGCTCATCATTCTTATAGTGCAATAGTATTCCGTTCCATTCACATACCACACCTTGTTCAGCCATGTCCCAGTTGATCAACATCCCCTCAATTTCCAATTCTTGGCCACCACAAAAAGAGCTGCTATAAACATTTATGTACATGTGGGTCCTTTCCGCATTTTTATGATCTCTTTGGGATAGAGACCTAGATGTGGCTTTGCTGGGTCAAAGGGTATGCACAGTTTTATAGCCCTTTGGGCATATGAACCATAGTTTTCAATGCCCTCCACTGTGCCTATTTTCTCAATGAAGTCATCAAGTATCAAAGTTGTTTTACTTTTTGGTCCAGATTCCCTGATTTCTTCAGTATAGGAAACTCCCACTGCAGAAACTTTCCATCTAAGCATCTTCTCATGTGGAACATGATCTGAAACTCATCTGTAACTTGTCTTCAGGGGTTTCCTGGATTGCTGAGAAGTTAAATTACTTGACTAGAGTAATACGTGCCAGAAAGTATCAGTGGCAAGCCTTGAACTCAGGTCCAATTTGAAGGATTTTATCAAGTTCATGTAACTTCTCCATTTCTTCATCTTCTGCCACATGTATCGACATAAAACCTTCATTTTTATAGACATAAATCATTATATATTCACTTATTAGATATATTTTATATATATATATATATATATATATATATATATATATATATATATATATATATATATATATAAATTAATCATATTACTTTTGGTCATCATTAACACTACAAATAAGATGACCAAATATATCAGTTATATTTCTTGTTGCCTTTGGGTGAAAAATGAAATCAATTCACTAATTCCTTTGTTGTCCACTCAGAAGATAACCTATGGCCCATCTTGACATTTAGATGCAAATTCTTTATAGCAAAAAATGTCAACAGGGATGTAACTCAGTTCTTCTAATACACATTATCTCATTCTCAAAGCAAAAATTGCACATTACGAGTACCAACAATTAACTTAACGTTTGTTGATGGTCTAAGAACCATGATCTTCAGCACCTTTCTGCCCTGTAACATTCCACAATTGCTATATTTGTATATCCTGTGTGTGTGTGTAAATACATATATATATATATATATATATACATATATACACATGTACACATGTATACACATGTATGCGTATATGTATTGCGTACATGTGTGCATGTATATATATAATATATGCATGTGCATGAACGTGTGTATGTATGAATATATATTTTTTTAATTCTTTATTTACTATTTCATGGATTGTCATGCCCAAAAAAACCAGTTAACCTTTTTCACGAAAAACTTCTTGGTATTTAGTTACAACTATATCAGACAAAAATATCCATTCCTGCAGACTCCTTTTGCCTACCAGAGCTTATAGTCAGTCCACTTATCCATAGCCTTCATTGTTCCTGGGTCACCTCCACATCCGTCATCAGAATAAGACTTTAGTGGAGTTCATGGATGCTTGATAAGACTTTGAGAGGCAGTGTATTATAGTAGAGAGCCAATGGCAGACCCAGGAAGAACCCAAGGTCAAGCCCTGCTTCTGATCCATACTGGCCATGTGACCTTGAATAAGTCATTTAAAAGCTCTTAAAAGCAGAGAGGGTTCTGGCCTGCATGGTAGGATGAGTTTTCTCATCACAGTGTTCCCTATATCCACAAAATCACAAATACAATCATTATCCCAATTGTATCCTTTCGGCTCAGCTCTGGTTGGGGGTGGAGGAGGGAGTTGGAAATATGGGGGAAGGGAGAGGAGAATACAAATTCATCCCTTTGCACTATTTACACTATAGTCACACCATCTGCCACTTATATGGATCAAGTGTGTCTGGCTCTAGATTGAACGTTGCCACATGGCTTCTCCAGTATTTGTGCTTTTTTTTAGAACTGTCAGTTCCTAAATATGCCCCTACTTTATTCTGTGGCTCAGCCACTACATTTTGGGTGCATCATACACAGACATTATGTGTTCCTATTGCTGCTAACCTAAACCACCTATTTTCTATTTAAAGTCATGCTTCTTGTTCTCACTGGTCTTTTTCTTTAGTGTAAAGAGAAGGCTTAATGAGTTTTTTTTTTCTTGTAGACTAATTCTAATAATAAATGCATGCAGTGGGACCAGAAAGAAATTATGAGACATTACCACTTAGGAAGAAGATTACTAAAACACTGTGTTCTCAAAAGTGTTTGACTGTGAGCTGAACAACTAATATTCTTACTATTGCTGTCCCCTGGGACTAACCACTTTTCTATGCTTCTTCAAAACGTTGTTTACTTCTCCTCTTAAAGGTATTTTCTTACTGCCCTCCTTAAAATAATTCACTTTCATGGGCATTGTACTTTTGTCTACATAAAGTGAAACACCTGTATAAAAAGTTTAATATATCACCCTGATAGTACGCCTGCATTGATTCTAAATATCCAGATGTTTATATTTATGCTTGGCATTGTGATGTGGGCCAAACTAAGTTTTCACTCTTCATTGAAATGTTTTGGTCTTTTGTAGACATAACCATAAAGATTATTTTTTGAGACATAAGGGCCAGGTGCCACCACAGAAACCACACCCCAAACATAACTTGTTTTTTCCATAATATCATCTTGCCTCCAAATAGGATGGGAAAGAGCCATGAGCATCTCTGTGGAAATGTAAGAGCTTTTCATGGGAATTCAACAGTGAACAAAGAATGATGCAACTTATATTTAGTAAAGTGTTAGCTCTTTTTCAAACAATTGAGGTTCAGTTCAGGCAAACACATTTTTTTTTCCTTCTGCCTCAAGTACTTTTTTCCTCCTTTATTTTTAAGAAAATTAACATCTCAAGGATAGCAATTATCAGACTTCTAATGAATATCTTACATGAATGCTCAAAAGTGTTACCTTTGAAAGTGTCCCCTCTGTGACAAATATGATGAAATGGGAAAATAACATGTTGGAGGGCTGTGGGGAAACAGACACAACAAACTGGCAGGAGCTGTGAACTGGTATGGCCATTTCAGAAAGCAATTTGGAATTATGCCCCCAAAAGTCACTAAACCGTACACTTACTCATACTTCTATTATACCCCCAAAAGATCAAAAAAATAGGAAACAGATTCTCATGTACAAAATATTTATAGCATCTCTTTTTGTAATATCAAAAAACTGTAAACTATAGGGGTGTCCCTTACTTGTATAATGGCTGAACAAATTATGAGATATGAATGTAATGGAATACTATTGTTCCATAAGAAATGGCAAAGGGGGAGGGTGGGTACATAGAAACCTTTGAAGACTTGTATGAACTGATGCAGAGTGAAGTGAGTAGAACCAGAATGATTCATGAAATAACAACGATATTGTAAAAACAAACAACTTTGAAAGACTCAAGAACTCTGAGCAAGACTATGATCAACTATGATTCTAAAGAATGACTTATGAAGAATGCCACCCACTTCTTGTTCCCCTATTTCCCCCCAAAATGAATAATTTTCACTAAAAGTCAACAAAGCTGTCCCTAGAACTTGATTGATTCCTGCATCCTTGGAGCCAGGCCTCCTCCAACTTGCTGAATTTCTGAAGACCACTCAAGTTACCATGCCCTTTCCTACTGACAACATGGGTTTCCATAGAGAGACGGGGGGAGTGTTTCTGGAGAAGATCAGTACCACTGAATCCTTGTTGGATATCCTTGCAGTGTAGGGGAAAATAAACCTCCTTTTCTTTTTCATTGTTCAATGGCTTGCAGGTGTCTCATTTTGTCCCAACCCTGAATTTGAAGTAAAGGGTGCCTGTGTCAGGCCATCCCTAATATCTCCTGACTGGGAAATGACGGACTAATATGCAGAATGAGACAGACTCACATTTTTTGACATATCTGATATGAAATTTATTTTATTTCTTCAAAGGGTTCTTTTTCTTTTTTTTTCTCCTAAATTAATTGGGGAGATGGAAGAGAAAATAAATATTTGTTGATTGAAAAATTAAAGAAAAAGGAAAGAAAAAATGTCCCTTCAAAAGCCAGTAACTCAAACTGTCATCAAATTAGTATGCCTTTTTAAACTCAATGAACCAAATACTGAAAGAATTTTTTGTTTTAACAAAATACAGAGAATTAGTACCTCTTTTCAGCTCTTTAAACTGTTTTGCCTTCACATAATACACCCAGCACCTCCTTTTCCTAATGTTCTTCTTTCTTTCTTTTCCTCCTCCTCATTTTTTCTCTCCTCCCAGTATTCACATATAAGTAACCAAACACACACACACACACACACACACACACACACCCCTCCGGTCAAAGTTGCCCCAGATCAACTGTCATCACTTCCAAGTCACTTCTTCAATATTTCAATTCTGTGCCACCATGCTTAAGATTCCGACCCCGATGCCTCTGGCTGGAGGCACTAACAAACAGGTCTGTGCCTTTAAGAGGGCTTCACAGCTGATAAGTCATTTCTACTCACATATTTTCTCATTGAATCATCAGAGTAACCCTGTCAGGTTACCAGGGAAGGTGATAATGTGTCACTTTATGGAAACAGAAGCCTAGGAAAATTGGATGGTGTATTCAGAGTCACACATCAAATAAATAAATAGCAGAGCTTGGATGCAAAGCCAGCTAGTTCTTGTGGCTTTAAATCTAGGGCCACTTCCATTACACTATGCTGCTACTACAATGAGGGTAAGAAGGAACAAGCATTTATATAGACTATATGCCAGGCACTGTGCTAAGTGCTTTCCACAAATATTACCTCATTTGATCTTCACAACAACTCTGCCAGGTAAGTGGTATTATTATTCCTATTTTACACTAGAAGAAACTGAGACTGAGAGAGGTTGTTATTGTTATTGTTATTAATAAATAATAAAAATAAATAAAAATAAAACTATTAATTGATTAATACTTATAATACTATTAATACTAATAATATGTGTTGCTATTGTTCAGTCATTTCAGTTGTGTTCAAAGCCCAGCTTTACCTAGTCCACAATACATACACATAGAAGTGGATCACAGTAGATTCACAGATCCAAAGTGGAAAGGGACCTCAGAGGCCATGAATAAATGAGTTTTGTTGTTGTTCAGTCATTTCAGTCATTTCCAAATCTTTGTGACCCCATTCGGAGTTTTCTTGGCAAAGATACTGTAGTGGTTTGCCCTTTCTTTCTCCAGCAAACAGAGTTAAGTGACTTGCCCAGAGTCACACAGCTAGTAAATGTCTGAGGCCAAATTTGAATTCAGGTCTTCCTGACTCCAGGTCCAGCACTCTATCCACTGTGCCACCTAGCTGCCCCACCAATAATATTAGTAATTAAGAATAAGCTAGCATTATTTATACAGCACTTCAACATTTGCAAGGAGGTTTATAAATATTATCTCATTTGATCCTCACAACAAACCTGAAGCTCTTGATTTGATATGAGGATACAAACTGGTGGTGAGAATATGTAGCCACATAGCAAATTAGCCTCATGAAGGCAAGTATAAGGTAATGCAACAGGGAACCAATATCTAAACTATACTTAAGCAATGACAGGCTCCCAAGATAACAGTAATGACCTACAAAAGAGATCTTAGAGTCATTGTAATTGTTCCCTGCAAATGGCTAAATGGTAAGTGAATATAATGGAATATTATATCATGAGAAATAATGAGTGACCTTGTCAGAGAAATCTGGGAAGATTTGTATTATTTGATGCATAGTAAAGTCAGAAGAACCAGAACAATTTATACAATAATCTCAAAATTAGAACAACTACTTTGAAAGACCTGAGAACTCTGGTCAGCGCAATGACCAACCACAATTCTAGAAGACCAGTGATGAAGCAGGCCCCTCACCTCCTGACTAAGAAATGATGGGCTTAAAGTACATATAATGACATACACATTTTCAGATATGGCCAATGTGTAAACTTGTTTTGCAAATCTTTCTTTCTTTCTTTCTTTCTTTCTTTCTTTCTTTCTTTCTTTCTTTCTTTCTTTCTTTCTTTCTTTCTTCCTTCTTTTCTTTCTTTTTTGACAGTTTGGCAGGTGAGAGGGAGGACTTGGAAGACAGGGGGGTTTGCCTTCCTAACATCTCTCATAGAGGCCCCATTCTCTACCTAACACTGACACTGTTCTGGTGCAGGCTGTTATCCCTTCACACCTGGATTATTGCAATAGCCTTCTGATCGGTCTCCTCACCTTGGTTCTCCCCATACTCCAATCCTTCCTCCACTTAGCTGTCAAATTGATCCTCTTAAAGTTTAGGATTTGCCATGTTGTTCCCCTACTCAATAAATTCCAATTGTTCATTGTTACCTCTAACATAAATTATAAAGTCCCCTGCTGGCTTTTAAAGCACTTCATAGACTAGCTCCTTCCTACTCTTCCAGTCTTCTTACATCTTATTCCCCTCTATGTAATCTTTTACCCAATGGCACTGACTTTTTTGCTATACTTTATACAAAACACTCCATCTCATGACTCACTCCATGTATTTTTACTGATTGTCCCCCACATGCCTGAATTGTCTCCCTTCTCACATTCATCTCCTTGTTTCTCTGTCTTCCTTCAGATTCCAGCTAAAATTTCACCTTCTATAACATGCCTTTCCTGATCTTCATTAATGCTAGTGCCTTTCCTTGAAGACTATCTCCAATTTATTCAGCATATATTTGGTTATACACAGCTGTCTGCATATCGTCTCCTCCATTAGACTGGGAGCTCCCGGAAAGCAGGGACTGCTTTTGCTTTTCTTTGTGTCCCCCAAGCTTAGCACAGTGCCTGGAACATAGTAGGTACTTAATAAATGCTAATTGACTCAATTTGCCTTAAGGAAAAAAAGATTACTTCCTTAATTGTTCTGTGGCCCCCAAGGGCATCAAATGTTGGACATCAATCAATAGGACAGCTCCTGGAAACAGAAAGAAAGGATTACACTCACATCCCAAACCATGTCATATATAGAAGAATACACACACACACATACATATATACACACACAATACCACCTACCTCTTTCAGACAGGATGGGCAATTTGACCTGCAGATCTCTGAGCTGTGGTAGAACTTCCCCAAGAAGAGTAGAATAGCACTTAAGTCATGAAGGCGCCATGAGGAATTGAAAAGTTCAATGAATAACAGGCCTCTTCACTTTCTCCTTGGAGTTACTATAAAGTAAGCTCAAGACTTTGAGTGATTTTTGCCATGCCTAGCAGAAATGTCATAAGACATAGAGGGAAGAGGATCAGGCTGGAGTAAGAAGACCTGAGTCCTTGTCCAAGCTCTGTTATTAGCTTGCTGTGTAACTAAGGGCAAGTTTTGGCTTTACAGTTGTCCAAAGCAGGCCAGTTCAGGTTTGGTGCAATCAAGGTAGCATCTTTTCCTACAAATTGAAGCTACATTGGTCATAGTGATGCCTGCCTTGTATCTAGCAAAGCAGAGTGGATGGTATATTAATCATTCTCATTTTGGTTTAAAAGCCTTTCTACACTAGCACTTGGACTATAAATCACTAAGAAAAACAAGCCTAATCCTAATTGCCTTTCCTTTAGTTCAGATTCACGTGGATTTTATTTTTCTCCCCCCCCCAAATCACATTCTGATGAGATGACAGGGAAGCCATAAATAAAGGACTTTGCACTACTTGTTTGCTTTTCCCTAGTTAAGTAGCATTTATTTGTATAAAAGTGGATTGAGGCATTAAAGTTAAATAGCTTTACATCCAAGGAAAATTTTGCTCTTTGTTTTCTTTAAAAAGAGGTAAGTTCAGCTGCATTTCCTTACTAAGTAAAGTAAATAGCTATGAAAATCAAAATAAATCACTACTGTTTGCACTAATGGAATTATTTTGTTATCCTGACCAAAAAAAAAAAATGTTTTATTTACTTGGAGGCAGAGAGCCGGCAAATACTTAAGAGATCAACTTTGCCCCTACTTTGAACATTTCCCTTTAAGGAGTCAGGACATCTAAGTAGGCATCATAATTTGGTATCTATGGCCCTTCCCTGCCCACCTCCCTCAAGCTGAGGCATGAGAAGACAAGCAAAATTCAGAAAGTGACCACAAAAATCCAGAAACAAGCCCTTTTCTGAGAAAGTGATCCTGGTTCTGCTGCTACAGCATCTGTGCCCTAACATGTTGTTGTCAGCTTGGGGGGAGGTTTATTACAACACTTTGTTCCCTGGACATAAGCTCATGAAAGTTCAAATCTGTTCAAGAAGGAACAAAAGTGGATAGCTTGGGATTCTTGACCCACTGTTCCCTCTACCACACATATTGCTTTAAAACAACAAGAACAACAACTTAAACTGAACCTATAGGAAAGAAACTTACTACAAGGCAAAAGCTGGAGTTGTCAGTGAAAGGTCTCAAGCAAAATCCACTGGAAAGAATTCAAGTATTTGTTGTTTTCCTCTTTTCCTGTTATTTTCCCAAAAAAAGCATTTTTATGATCATTTCTGGTCCTCCAATTTAGAAAGCATACTTAGACCTGGCTGTCAATCAATATGTCCAATAGGCTGGTTGGTAGGTTGGGAAGGGGGAGAATAGTAATCAAAAGATCAAATATGACCAGAATTTAATAGCTTCTTCAAGATCATACCTAACTCTAAAGAAGTTATTAAGGCCCTGGCAAACTAACCTAGCTTTGGGGTAACATTGCTTCTTTCTGGATCCTTTTTTTTTTCCACAAATGCCCAAAATAGCTGTTAGTGCTTCAGTAACAATGAAAAGAATGTTGAAATTCTTTGTTTGTGGGGCACTCTTCTTCTTGGGCATCCTGTAATCCTTAAGCAGCCCAGGAGAAACTAAGATTGCAAAAAGGGCACCCCAGCCCAACATTTCCCAACCATAGTCCTTCCAAAATATGTGTTTTCTGGTCCATAAAACTTTTACTACCAAGGGTCCTGCCTTCTTAGAAACTATAAACTGATTCCCTCTGCTCCCCACTTCCGGCTCCTCCTCCTACCCCTGGGATCCCTTCTTCTCGGCAGCTCCAGCCCCTCCTCCCTGAGGTTAGAGAATCACTGCCTCGAGGGTGCAGAGTGCAGAGTGGTCCTCAGTAGAAAACTTGAATATTTTAACAATCCACAGATAGGCTGTCAAACACTCATTTTAGTCAGCTTTGGTGGGGAAAGAAAGGAAGGGAGTAAAAGAGGTTGACTTTTTAAACTACACATCAATCATCTACATATTTGTTTGGGATATTTGCTTTCCAAGAGCACAAATGGTTTCTTGATTGGACATTTCCTGCCGGCTAATGGCCAGTAGCATATTCCTTCCACTCTCCTACTGGGTTATCATGAGGCTCTGTTTTCACTTCAGGCTCAGAATGGCATGAGATGGGATGAAACATGTGATTTCATTGGTACAAGGAACCTCTGGTAAGAAAATTCCCTCTTACCAAAGCAGACTTGCCCCTTCTCTGAAATTTCAATCTTAAAGAGTTGCTTGGGTCCAGAGAAGTTAATTTGCCCAAAGTCATATAGCCAGTACATATCAGAAATAGAACTTAAACTTAAGTTCTCCTTACTCCAGAGCTAATGCTCTATATCCTTATTGTTCTTGGGCCTCTACCCACTTTCCTAAAGGAAAAAGTCTAGGAAGCGTTTTAGATTGAAGGAAATATTCTTTCTTAATATTTTCAGTTGAACTGAAGGAGATTTTTTTTATTTGTTTCCACTATGACCGGCTACTAATGTCCCAACCTACCTGGGTAAAAGAGGCCATTCTCTGCCTCATTTCTTACATAGCCTAGATCACTAAATGGGTGTTGTCTCAGTCAAACTGAGACCTGTT